TAAATTCCACCACACAAACTAAATTGTGGGTACCTTGTGAGCAAGGACTGTTCCTTATTTATTGTTTAGCTAGGTCATGCTCAATAAATTTTCAAGTATTCAAATCAGAGCTAATCTAAGGGTTCCTCTTAAAGGCTGTTACTGAATAATAACCAAATATGATGAAAAGAGTAACATTTTCAAATTAGAATTCAAGTGATTATAGTCTTAATTCACATATGAAGTCCAAATAACTTAATTTACCAAGGTGAAATAGTAAGATCTGAATTCACATTTCAATTGGATTATTGCCCAACTAGGATCCAGAGCAAACCTTTCCCAGGATACACTTTCCATTTTCTCCTCTTTAGCTTAAGTATTTAGTAAATCATTTAAAATTCAACTAAAGACGATTTCTATAGTAAAAATCCTCTATTAACACACAACTGAAATATGCTGTAAATTTTAAGTAGGATAATCCAAAGAAGAGCAATAAACAGTGTATTTATTGCTACAAAATAATCCCAAAACTCAATGTATATAGCACCTTCAGAATAAAGGGCACTTAGGCTTTTTATTGTTTGGTGTTTTGGTTTTGTTAATCCTTACCAAGGGATATTTTTCCAGTGATTTTTAGGGTAAGTGGGAGAGGGAAAAACAGAAACATCAATGTGAGAGAAACACATCTATTCATTGCCTCCTACAGGAGTCCTGATCAGGGCCAGGGCCAGGGCCAGGAAGGAGCCTGTACATGCCCTTGATAGGATCAAACCCTGGACCCTTTGGTCCGCAGGCTGCTGACCAGACTGGCTAGGGCAGCCTTGTTTTTAAAAGATGAATTACTTATTTTTTAATCAAGTATTTCTCATAAGAAACTAAAACAAAAATCAGAAGAAAAATGTCAAAGCAAAATTGGTATTTTAACTGTAAAATATCCAACAAATCCTTGCAGGGCCCTAGCAGATTTAAGAGGACTAGCTGGTTATCTATGTAACCAATGTCTTTAGCCAGGCTCCTATATTTTTGTTCCTCTTTGACATGTTATAAATGGCAAAACAAGACCTGCAGAAGTTTTAAATTATGAGAAAAACTGGAAATGTGTTAATAAATTATGGCATTGGTGCCAATAAAAAGATCTAGAAGTACCCAGAGATAACCTAATATAGGTTATAGGGTACTGGGAGAAAACAAGAGGTTTTGTTTTTTTACCTTACAATGTGCTTTTTAAATGCAAGCAAAGATGCCCATTTCTTGTTCTCAATAGCTACATGATCTTACACAAATTATTTCAATTAGGTAAGCCTGTAGCTACTATGCAACATACAGACATTAGGATCTCATCATAGAATCATTCTGAGAAGATAAATGAAATGATGCTTTGCAAAGTGCTTAACAGTGCAAAGCATATAGCCAACACAGTAAATAATGCTATCTAAGTCTTATGTGCAGGCATCATATGGAAAAACTGGTAAGTATCTCTGCAGTAAAACTATTGGAAAATACAAAAAGGGAAGACAAAAGTCATTGACTGTGTTATCATATATAATCTGCTTTTACAATTTTCAGTAAAATGTTCTCATTGAATTTACCCTAAAGCTTTAAAAAATGAGTATGTACCTTTTTCTATATGTATACTGAGAACTGAAAAATACTTACACCAGACAACTGCTGCATTATCTAGCACATTTAACTCTGAAGTAGCTATTTCATCAACCAAGTATATATTTGATAATCACTGCATTATTCCTAACAGCAATGGAAGAAAACTCTTATTCATCAATAAATGTTCTAAGTTGTTATAACTATATTATGCAACAGTATAGACATATATGGGAGAATACACATAAACTGGACTATATAAACTTATTTTTAAATTAACCTCAGAGCACACAAAAATATCTAGCTGGCCTGGCCAGGTGGCTGGTTGTGGGTTCTGAGTCAGAACACATACCTAAGTTGTGGGTTCAAAGGGTATATAAGGAGACAACTGATAACTGTTTTTCTCTCCCTTCCTCTTTAAAAAATAAAAACACATCTTTAGGTGAGGAGGATTAAAGATCTAGCTGAATATATATATATCTATTAACAAAAATTATCCTTGAGAAGGTTTGCTCACATAGATAGGATTTTTTTTCACTTTAGTTTGGTTTATAAGCAGCTAATTCTAAGTTATTTTCAAAAATATATCAGAGCCCCAAGATTCAGTAAGATTTTTGGATTCCCTATTTCCTTGTAATACTGGTATTTTCTGTGACTCTAAGTATAATCCAAATGTTATGCAACACTTTTATAGCATATAGCAGAAAGTATATTTCCTAGCTTTATTATTTCATGGGACTTTTTAATTGGAAAAAAATGTAATTTTTTTATATCCACTTTTAATAAAAAGTATGAGACAAAGGGACATTAAATTAACCTTTAGCTGAAACCGGTTTGGCTCAGTGGATAGAGCGTCAGCCTACAGACTGAAGGGTCCCAGGTTTGAATCCGGTCAAGGGCATGTACTTTGATTGTGGGCACATCTCCAGAGGGAGGCAGCTGATCGATGTTTCTAGCTCTCTATCCCTCTCCCTTCCTCTCTGTAAAAAATCAATAAAATATATATTTTTAAAAACATTAAAAAAATTAACCTTTAGTAAAATACTAAGAAAAAAAAAAAAGCCTAGTCCTCTCTTGGTTTAGAGATGATCTTTGTGGCTGTTTCAGAAGAAAACAAAATAGGGCATTTGAAACAGAAATAGAAGCAATTTTTCCTAGTGATCAAAATCTTCTCTGATTCAGAAAATTAGTTAAAATGGAAGAGACTTACCCAAAGTACAAATGTTGCTTTTTTGGGTAATATGCATAATGTCTAGATGCAGTTGTGTTCAAATCAACCCAACATCCAAACACGCATTTTCAATCAGCAAAAACACAGGCCATTTTTAAATGCAAATTCCTAAATTTCAGAAAATTTAGCAGTTAAAAGTAAATAAGGCTACAAATTAAGTAATAACACTGTCACTTCTGGTCTTGAAATAATCATAAATACCAAATTCTCAAGTATCCTAAATCTTTTAACCTTGCTTAAAAAAACAAAAATGCATGGTGAAATATTTAAACATGAAATCTTTTTCCAAATCACTAATTTATAGGAAACAATCCATTATCATTCTAATTTGATAGTTACCGCTATGAATAATAACAAATGCAAGCTTAAAATTTGAAATTACTACCAATTTTTAAAGACCTTTTAAACCACTTTTAACTAATGACTACCACTGAATTTATACTAAAAATACTGTATACGCAAGTTTTCCACAATAGGGAAACAAATTATACTCAAAGAAATCAAAACATACAACTGGTTGCCCCTTGTCCAAATAAAAGTCCCACATGCCAAAAATGCTTGCATAAAAATTGACAAAAGGAATTCTGAAGAGTAAATACCAGTCCAAATTACAGAAATTTGTAAAGGCACACACATGACAATATAGCTAACTATTAATATACCTTAAACAGAACACTAAGTCGCTTTCCTAGCAAACAGAAGTTACTTTTACATAATTCAATTTTAGAAGTCACTATATTGGAATTCAAAATGACAACAATCTTATCACTTTTGAAAACCCTCCAAAAGATAGATGGTCTATTCCCAGAAAAAAATAAATCTTCCACTAAAACTGAGTAAAGATGAACAGTGACAATTAAAACAATTTAAGCATATCATTCTCTGTACCCTACAGAACTCTAAAACACTAGACCAAATAACTAAATAAAGCCCACATGTAGGGTTTCACTAAAAGCGAAGAGAAAAACCACCCTGTAGAAACATTTGAGAGCAAAATACCTTGTGTTTGTCTATCCTATTTGCCATAGAAATACACTTAAGATATTTATACCAAGTATCAGCTACCCTGTTAAAGTGACAACCGAACAGCCATAACCTATCTTAGCAATCTTGACCTTTCTTCCCCTTGAGAGTAGAGCACTGATAATTAAGGGGGGAAATTTTGGCAAGCATCTTAAAAATATAGTGACAAGAACTAAAAGAGAAAAGGGGTCAGATGTTAAAATATCCTTTTAAGTCCAATAATCTCCTTCACAAAGCTTCTTAGCAGGGCTTTTGGCAGCAAAATTGAAGCCAAGTATTTTATAACATTAAATTAAATGTACTAGATTAACAGGTATTCTGAACCCACCCACCAGGTTATACATACTCTCACTCAATCGTGTAAAGAATTCTTTATTTGTTATATCCATAAACGTTGCTATTCTATATTTCTATCCAGGAAGATAATTTTCTCCTATATCGTTGTTTTGTTTTTTATAAACAACAACTTGAAATCTATTGCAAGGGCTACAAATATACATTTGTTAACCAAGCAGAATACAGATATTTTGCTTTACAACTTGCATCTAAGATACCAGTACAGTAGCTGGTTCATTAGTTGTCATAGCAATTTGGGGCCATTGCCCAAGCTATGTATAGCAGTTTACATTTTCAAATCTCATGTAAAAAGGGCAATTGTAATATGGACTCATAACTACATTCCTATAAAGACCACCGTAGTTACAAGTAAATGTGTAACCAAGTCTGCACAGATTTTTGATGGCAAAACTTCTAAATCTGATGCAATTGTCCTAAACTCAAGTTTTTAAACCAATTTTGCCCATATAATGCCATTCTGCCAGTAGATGGCGCTACAAACACAGGGGGAAGGATTTCCATGAGGCCAGCAGCTACAGGATAAAAACGTTTAAACCTGCACTGAAAATACAAAAATGCATTTTTAGAGGGTAAAATATAACCCTTATTGTAACCATTCATTTCAGACAAACTAATAAGAGGGATGAAACTAGGCCATCTGAAAATTTTTAAACAGTTTATATGAATGAAAACACATGCTTAACACAATATTTTAGAACTGCACAGTACATACTTTGAAGTAAATTCTCATAGAAAGAAGTAACCAATCATGTCAAGATGATATGCAAATCCTTTAAGTACAAGAGATGGATGCACAGAAATTTTAAAGATCCTAAAAAGCCACATCCACCATTTCAAAAGTTTTGCCTGTAAAGGGATAAAATTCAACACGTCTCTAGCAGGGCAACAGAAAAAAATAAAAACCACAGGACCTTTTAAAAGTTTGTCTAAGTACATATCAAAATTAAGAATTAACACGAAAAATTTTCAACTAGTATCCTTAAAACGGTACGGAATGGATCCTAGAAAAAAAATGTTAGACATGTACGGTCAAACACAATGATTTATTAAAAATAAAACGTAAAAATGATTTTTGTACATATGCTTCCAAATTTCAGGCATGGGATCCAAGTAGATTTCATAGAAAACGCTGTAGCCAGGTATCAAGTCCTTACAACAAAGTAAACTAACCCCCCACCCCAACCCCCACCCAGGTGTTGCTACAGAATCAGCAAGTTCACTCCCTCCCTCCCCAAAAAACACAAATGAAAACAAGACATTTTGCTAGTATAAAAACGACCAAGGTCCAAGTAATAATAAAAAAATAGAGTCCATCAATAACTAACACAAAAATGTGTATGTGGGGCAGAGTCCATCTTCCAAGGGAGAGACGAGAGGTGGCAGGCAAACAGGGCGAAACCCCTAAAGGTAAGCAGCCTTAGAAGCGGCTCCCCCAAGGGCAAAACGGGGAAGGCGGTGGGAGGGAACGGAACTCAGGAGTTGACCGTAGGGCTATTGAAAACAGCTACCCCTAAAGTCAATCCCAGACATTGAATTTTTTTTTTTTAGAAGGAACTGCCTCCATAACCACCCCCACCGCCATAGCCACCTCTGTAAGGTCCACTGTTACTGCGGCCGCCCCAGCTGCTGCCGCCGCCGCCGCCGCCGCCGCTCTTCATGGGCCCGTAGGAGGACTGGTGCTGGCTGTAGCTGCCGAAGCCGCCGAAGCCGTTCCCGTAGTCGCTGCCACCGTAGGACGAGCCGCCGCCGCCGCCGCCGTAGGCATTGTAGCCGCCGCCGTAACCACCGTAGCTGTTGTAACCGCCGCCGCCGCCCTTGGACAGGCCGTTCTGGTCGCGACCACCGCCGCGGCCCCGGCCGCCCCGGCCGCCCCGGCCCGACCGGGAGCCGCCGCCGCCCCCGCCGGAGTGGATATCCTCCTTGGGGACGGCCTTCTTCACCTCCACGCGATGGCCCTGGATCGGATGGAACTTGACCACAGCGGCCTTGTCTGCCGCGTCGTGATTCTGGAAATACACGAAGCCGAAGCCTCGCTTTTTGCCAGACTGCTTGTCGGCGATAATCTCGGCCTTCTCCACGGTGCCGAACTGCGAGAAGTGCTCGATCAGGTCGCCCTCGGCCACGTCTCCTTTAAGGCCGCCGACAAAGAGCTTCTTCACCTTGGCGTGGGCACCGGGCCGCGCCGAATCCTCCCGGGACACCGCCCGCTTCAGCTCCACCGTGTTGCCGTCCACGGCATGGGGAGACGCGGCCATGGCGGCATCGGCCTCCTCCACATTGGAGTAGGTCACGAAGCCGAAGCAGCGGGAGCGCTTGGTCTGGGGGTTCACCACCACCACGCAGTCCGTCAGGGTCCCAAAGGCCTCAAAGTGGCCGCGCAGGCCCGACTCACTCGTCTGCACGTTGAGGCCGCCGATGAACAGCTTACACAGCTGGGAATTCTCCATCTCCAAGGCCCGGGCCTTCCCCCCGCCCTGCGAGCTCCGAGGTTTCGCCGTCGCCGTTATCGTTGACTAAGGCCTCTTCACAGACCGGGCCCAGCCGTTGCCGGAGCCGCCGCCGCCGCCGATCGCCGACGGGGAAGGGAAGGAGGGAAGGGGAGGGAAGGAGGAGAAAAGGAAGGGGGAGGGAAGGGGAGAGATGCCGGCTAGAGGGCGAGCCGAGGAAACTGGAAGACAACCAAGGCCGCAGCTACCGCCACCTCCGATCCCCTATCAGGGCACCACACAAAGAGGCCGCTGAACGCGCGCGCACCCTCCCCGAGACGTGCGTCACCGCCGACGTACGGCAGCCCAGGGCTACCCGCCAATCCCCGCCTGGTTCTCCTTAGTCCCGCCTACCGCGCCGCAGCGCCGCTCTGGATCTCAGACTCCCCGCCCTCCGCGATCTAACCCAGCTCACGGCCTGCCCGGTTCCTGCCTTGCCTCTACCGGCCCGCTTTTACTTCCGAGCTCTCCACTGTGCCCTGACGAGAGACTCCCCCTGCACTCCCCGCACCTCCGCGATTCATTTGCACCCAGCACCGCGGCTGTTCCCAGTGATTTTACCCCTCCCCTTGCCGTGTCCCCTCGCCCAACTCCGCAGTGGCGTTCGCGCCAGCCCCTTGAGAGACAAGTCAATTCAGCCAATCACCGTAATCCGCTTCCACCCACTTCCGTTTTCTGCAGCGGCTGGACGGGCGCGCTCCCCGGAGCGCGCCGGCCCCGACGCCCCCGACGTGCGGAGCCTGCAGCAGCCTCACACCTCCTCCCGCCTCGGGCTTGCAGAGGGTTGGGAGGGGCGATGCGCGGAGGCACTCTGGGGGCCGTTCCCAACGGATGCGGCCTGGGGCGCCACGCGCGGGTTTTTTGAAAACTTGACTGTTGGGACTGGGGGCCTGGATGTATTCGCGCTACACCTGGCGCCCTTGCCCCTCCCGTCCGCACAAAGATGGGAGGTAGAGGCCTGGTCGGGAAAGGCGGTTATTGGCAGTTTACAGTGGCCCGACGCGCAGTTAAACTAAACATTGGCACGTGGCCCTGCGCGGAAGCGAGCCTGAGGCGGAGAGCGACGTGCCGAAGGGCTTCAGCCTGTACCGCCCAGGCCACCCTTGGCCGTCCGTGAAGCGCTTCTGCGACGCCCTTCTCTGCCTCCCTTCGCGCACTCCCACAGAAGACGTTTCACTTTATTTAAGTGAAGACGTTTTATATGTTTACGTTATATATACGTTGCTTTCTTTTTAAAAACGTTACCTTCTTAAAGGTGTTTAATACCAGACTGAAAGCTGAGGGAGTTGAGCACATGAACATTACATACAAATATCACGCACCCCTGATACTTGGCCTTACAGATCCTCACTAAGATGGGAATGCAAGAAAATTATAATGGCTTCTATTTATTGAACCTTTGTGTGCCAAACAAGATACATTGAGTGGGACATAAGATGAGGCATTATGTGGCCAAGAGCTCCCCAAACCATGTGGTAAATACTGAAGAAGAGGAATGATTTGTGAAGGAGGTGGAAGTTGCATTAATTTCAGAGTCAAAGACTAAAGATTTCTATAGGGAGTTTGAACAAATTCCGGAGGAGACAAAGCTACGTAAGTTTCAAAGGGACCAGTTTGGAGCAGGTTTTGATACAAGATAGAGGGCTCTTGATATTATGAATGTCTGGAATTTTATATTGAGTTTAAATATTATTCCAAATGTATATAAAAAGGCTATCTACATTTGGAATAATAAGGTTTGGGGGCAAAGAGCCCAATGCCTGCCTGGTTCATAGTAAGGGCTCTGTTTATCTAACCAATAGTATGCCAGGTGTTGAGAATATTGCAGTAAACAATAGACAAAAATCTCTGCCATCAAGAAGTTTATGTTCTTACAAGAAGAGTCAGACAATAAAGAATGGTATATAGCATGTTAAAAAATTGTGTCACTAGAAAAAAAAAAGACAATAGGAAACTATTACCTTGTTTTAAAAAAAAGATATGTCAGGATTGCTAAATGATAATGATAAAGGATGAGGGAAATAAAAGCATTCCAGTGATCGGAATCTGGAAGCCTAAAATACAGCAATGGTAGAACTAGAAAATCTAAGACAATAAACTATTTTGGAGGAAGTGGGGAAGATGATGAACATAATTATAAATGTTTAAGGGGACACTGATATTCATGGTGCAATGTTTTCTGGGATGCCTTACAGATGAGAGAATACATTTTAGAATTATCCAAAAAATGTTAAAACAATAAAAGATGAATTCTGAAGAAAAGAAAATAAGGCCATAACTTATTTTCCTATGTAATTTGTAAATTCTAAAGCAACAGCATTGGCCTGCTGACCTGAAGAATCCCAGGTTTGATTCCGGTCAAGGGCACATGCCTGGATTGAGGTCTCAATCCCCAGTAGGGGGCAGCTGATCAATGATTCACATCATCTATATCTATCTCTCCCTCTCCCTTCCTCTGAAATGAATAAAATATATATAACAAATAAATAAAGATAAAGTAACAGTTTCTCCTACATTGTTTAAAAATAATCCTCCACATCGCCTAATTGGGGATCCATTATGAGTTAATTTATCTTGAGTAGGAAAGCTTCACAGAGGTGTAGATCTGGTATAAGCCTTCCATATAGAAGAGATATTCAGGAAGCCAGGATAAATATAAGATAATTGATTGTTAGATCTTTCCTTGACTCGGATGAACTTGACTCTTTTGAAGATTATAAAACCAGTTATTTTGTATAATTTCTGTAAATCTGTATCTTTGGATGATATTACATCCTATCAGACGACACATAACTTCTATTTGTTTCATTACTGTTTTGTCGAAGTATTTTGAGATTACATAATACCTCTTTCCTCATCAATTTTTCATCCACTAGTTTTTAGTATTCATTGATGTTTCTTGGCTGAATTATTACTATTAAGTTTCTGAAATAGTAAAAATTTCTAAATCAATTATCACTTCTATATTATCTTTCCCCCAATTATTTGTGCATTTTTATATCAATATGGATTCATGGATTTCTACTTTTTTAGTGGGTTGTAATTTGCTATTATCGTTATTTTGATGCTCTAAGTAGCCCAGATTTGGCCATGCAAGCAGACTTCTCTGTTCTTTTGACATGTCCCTGTAATTCACTGAGCACTTTTTGCTTGCTGGCCTAACAAGATATTTCATGTTCATCTTGGACCTTCCCTGCCCTGGAATCAGTTATTTTTCCAAGGAGTCTTGGTTCCTTTTAGTGAATAATGGTACTTAGAAACCAAGTTATGTGTTCATTACTATTTGTTGCTGCTCCCAGGCAGAGAAAGAGAATATATGTATGTACACATATATACAGTACATTATGTATACATGTATATTACATGTATATAATCTACACATTTACATCTACATTTATTTTTACATCTATCTACCTATCAATCAATCAAACCACTGGTTCACACCACTACCTCCAATTCCAATCCAATACCACAGAATTCATTCTAGTTTATTTCTATTTCCATATTTATATCTTTTTTTCTGACAGTCAAAACCTGGTTGCCATTATTCTAAATACATTTACTCATTAGCTCAGTCCACCTAAGCATGAATAAAATTTCTTGAGGATGGTAAATGTTAAAAATTGAAGAGATTATCTTTAAAAATCTTGATCAAGAGGGCAACAAGAAAAGCCCAGAGCAAGCAAAAGGAAGGAAATAATAAAGATCAGAAATGAAATAACATAGAGACCAAAAAAAACAAAACAAAATAATACAAAAGAGCCGAAACCGGTTTGGCTCAATGGATAGAGCGTCGGCTTGGGGACTGAAAGGTCCCGGGTTCGATTCCGGTCAAGGGCATGGACCTTGGTTGCAGGCATATCCCCAGTAGGGGGTGTGCAAGAGGCAGCTGATTGATGACTCTCTCTCATCAATGTTTCTAACTCTCTATCTCTCTCCCTTCCTCTCTGTACAAAGTCAATAAAATATATATTAAAATAATAATAATAATAAGTAATACAAAAGATCAATAAAACTGAGAGCTGGTTCTTTGAGAGGATAAAGAAGATTGATGAACCTCTAGCCAGGCTCACCAAAAAGCAAAAAGAGAGGACTCAAATAAACAAAATCAGAAATGAAAGAGGTGAAGTACAACCGACCACACAGAAATACAAAGGATTATGAAAAAATACTATGAATAACTCTATTCCAACAAACTGAACAACTTAGATGAAAGACATATTCTTAGAAAAATACAAGCTTCCAAAATTCTATCAGGAAGAATAAAACAACCTGAATAGGCCAATAATGACTGAAGAAATTGAAGCAGTAATCAAAAATCTTCCAGCAAACAAAAGCTCTGGTCTGGACAACTTTATAAGGGAGTTCTACCAAGCTTTCAAAGAACCAAAACCTTTCCTCCTCAGACTATTCAAAAAAATTCAAGAGGAAGGCACACTTCTAAGCTCTTTCTATGAAGCCAGCATTACCCTAATTCCAAACCCAGATAAAGATACCACAAAGAAAGAGAACTATAGGGCAATATCCTTGATGAACAAAGATGCTAAAATCCTCAACAAAATTCTAGCTAATCTTATCCAGCATTATATTAGAAAGACCATATACCATGATCAAGTGGGATTTATTTCAGGGATGCAAGGATGTTACAATATCCACAAATCAATAAATGTGATACATCACAAACAAATTGAGAGACAAAAATCACATAATCATATTAACTGATGCAGAAAAAAAGCATTTGACAAAATCCAACATCCTTTCTTGATAAAAACTCTCAGCAAAGTGGGAATAGGGGAATCATACCTCAACATAATAAAAGCCTGTATGACAAACCTATAGCCAACATCATACTTGGTGGGCAAAAACTAAATCCTTTTTCCTAAGGACAGGAACAAGACAGAAATGCCTACTTTCACCACTCTTGTTTGATACATTACTGGAAGTGTTAGCCATAGCAATCA